AAAGTCATGAAGAAGGGAAATAATAAAATAATAAAAATAAAACATAATAAAATAATTCTCGATTTAAAGCTTTCGTGACTGCAGGGATTCATCTTCTTGGTTCTTTCGGTAAAGTCATGAAGAAGGGAAATAATAAAATAATAAAAATAAAACATAATAAAATAATTCTCGATTTAAAGCTTTCGTGACTGCAGGGATTCATCTTCTTGGTTCTTTCGGTAAAGTCATGAAGAAGGGAAATAATAAAATAATAAAAATAAAACATAATAAAATAATTCTCGATTTAAAGCTTTCGTGACTGCAGGGATTCATCTTCTTGGTTCTTTCGGTAAAGTCATGAAGAAGGGAAATAATAAAATAATAAAAATAAAACATAATAAAATAATTCTCGATTTAAAGCTTTCGTGACTGCAGGGATTCATCTTCTTGGTTCTTTCGGTAAAGTCATGAAGAAGGGAAATAATAAAATAATAAAAATAAAACATAATAAAATAATTCTCGATTTAAAGCTTTCGTGACTGCAGGGATTCATCTTCTTGGTTCTTTCGGTAAAGTCATGAAGAAGGGAAATAATAAAATAATAAAAATAAAACATAATAAAATAATTCTCGATTTAAAGCTTTCGTGACTGCAGGGATTCATCTTCTTGGTTCTTTCGGTAAAGTCATGAAGAAGGGAAATAATAAAATAATAAAAATAAAACATAATAAAATAATTCTCGATTTAAAGCTTTCGTGACTGCAGGGATTCATCTTCTTGGTTCTTTCGGTAAAGTCATGAAGAAGGGAAATAATAAAATAAAAAAAATAAAACATAATAAAATAATTCTCGATTTAAAGCTTTCGTGACTGCAGGGATTCATCTTCTTGGTTCTTTCGGTAAAGTCATGAAGAAGGGAAATAATAAAATAATAAAAATAAAACATAATAAAATAATTCTCGATTTAAAGCTTTCGTGACTGCAGGGATTCATCTTCTTGGTTCTTTCGGTAAAGTCATGAAGAAGGGAAATAATAAAATAATAAAAATAAAACATAATAAAATAATTCTCGATTTAAAGCTTTCGTGACTGCAGGGATTCATCTTCTTGGTTCTTTCGGTAAAGTCATGAAGAAGGGAAATAATAAAATAAAAAAAATAAAACATAATAAAATAATTCTCGATTTAAAGCTTTCGTGACTGCAGGGATTCATCTTCTTGGTTCTTTCGGTAAAGTCATGAAGAAGGGAAATAATAAAATAATAAAAATAAAACATAATAAAATAATTCTCGATTTAAAGCTTTCGTGACTGCAGGGATTCATCTTCTTGGTTCTTTCGGTAAAGTCATGAAGAAGGGAAATAATAAAATAATAAAAATAAAACATAATAAAATAATTCTCGATTTAAAGCTTTCGTGACTGCAGGGATTCATCTTCTTGGTTCTTTCGGTAAAGTCATGAAGAAGGGAAATAATAAAATAATAAAAATAAAACATAATAAAATAATTCTCGATTTAAAGCTTTCGTGACTGCAGGGATTCATCTTCTTGGTTCTTTCGGTAAAGTCATGAAGAAGGGAAATAATAAAATAAAAAAAATAAAACATAATAAAATTATTCTCGATTTAAAGCTTTCGTGACTGCAGGGATTCATCTTCTTGGTTCTTTCGGTAAAGTCATGAAGAAGGGAAATAATAAAATAATAAAAATAAAACATAATAAAATAATTCTCGATTTAAAGCTTTCGTGACTGCAGGGATTCATCTTCTTGGTTCTTTCGGTAAAGTCATGAAGAAGGGAAATAATAAAATAATAAAAATAAAACATAATAAAATAATTCTCGATTTAAAGCTTTCGTGACTGCAGGGATTCATCTTCTTGGTTCTTTCGGTAAAGTCATGAAGAAGGGAAATAATAAAATAATAAAAATAAAACATAATAAAATAATTCTCGATTTAAAGCGTTCGTGACTGCAGGGATTCATCTTCTTGGTTCTTTCGGTAAAGTCATGAAGAAGGGAAATAATAAAATAAAAAAAATAAAACATAATAAAATAATTCTCGATTTAAAGCTTTCGTGACTGCAGGGATTCATCTTCTTGGTTCTTTCGGTAAAGTCATGAAGAAGGGAAATAATAAAATAATAAAAATAAAACATAATAAAATAATTCTCGATTTAAAGCTTTCGTGACTGCAGGGATTCATCTTCTTGGTTCTTTCGGTAAAGTCATGAAGAAGGGAAATAATAAAATAAAAAAAATAAAACATAATAAAATAATTCTCGATTTAAAGCTTTCGTGACTGCAGGGATTCATCTTCTTGGTTCTTTCGGTAAAGTCATGAAGAAGGGAAATAATAAAATAAAAAAAATAAAACATAATAAAATAATTCTCGATTTAAAGCTTTCGTGACTGCGGGGATTCATCTTCTTGGTTCTTTCGGTAAAGTCATGAAGAAGGGAAATAATAAAATAAAAAAAATAAAACATAATAAAATAATTCTCGATTTAAAGCTTTCGTGACTGCAGGGATTCATCTTCTTGGTTCTTTCGGTAAAGTCATGAAGAAGGGAAATAATAAAATAATAAAAATAAAACATAATAAAATAATTCTCGATTTAAAGCTTTCGTGACTGCAGGGATTCATCTTCTTGGTTCTTTCGGTAAAGTCATGAAGAAGGGAAATAATAAAATAATAAAAATAAAACATAATAAAATAATTCTCGATTTAAAGCTTTCGTGACTGCAGGGATTCATCTTCTTGGTTCTTTCGGTAAAGTCATGAAGAAGGGAAATAATAAAATAATAAAAATAAAACATAATAAAATAATTCTCGATTTAAAGCTTTCGTGACTGCAGGGATTCATCTTCTTGGTTCTTTCGGTAAAGTCATGAAGAAGGGAAATAATAAAATAATAAAAATAAAACATAATAAAATAATTCTCGATTTAAAGCTTTCGTGACTGCAGGGATTCATCTTCTTGGTTCTTTCGGTAAAGTCATGAAGAAGGGAAATAATAAAATAATAAAAATAAAACATAATAAAATAATTCTCGATTTAAAGCTTTCGTGACTGCAGGGATTCATCTTCTTGGTTCTTTCGGTAAAGTCATGAAGAAGGGAAATAATAAAATAATAAAAATAAAACATAATAAAATAATTCTCGATTTAAAGCTTTCGTGACTGCAGGGATTCATCTTCTTGGTTCTTTCGGTAAAGTCATGAAGAAGGGAAATAATAAAATAATAAAAATAAAACATAATAAAATAATTCTCGATTTAAAGCTTTCGTGACTGCAGGGATTCATCTTCTTGGTTCTTTCGGTAAAGTCATGAAGAAGGGAAATAATAAAATAAAAAAAATAAAACATAATAAAATAATTCTCGATTTAAAGCTTTCGTGACTGCAGGGATTCATCTTCTTGGTTCTTTCGGTAAAGTCATGAAGAAGGGAAATAATAAAATAATAAAAATAAAACATAATAAAATAATTCTCGATTTAAAGCTTTCGTGACTGCAGGGATTCATCTTCTTGGTTCTTTCGGTAAAGTCATGAAGAAGGGAAATAATAAAATAATAAAAATAAAACATAATAAAATAATTCTCGATTTAAAGCTTTCGTGACTGCAGGGATTCATCTTCTTGGTTCTTTCGGTAAAGTCATGAAGAAGGGAAATAATAAAATAATAAAAATAAAACATAATAAAATAATTCTCGATTTAAAGCTTTCGTGACTGCAGGGATTCATCTTCTTGGTTCTTTCGGTAAAGTCATGAAGAAGGGAAATAATAAAATAAAAAAAATAAAACATAATAAAATAATTCTCGATTTAAAGCTTTCGTGACTGCAGGGATTCATCTTCTTGGTTCTTTCGGTAAAGTCATGAAGAAGGGAAATAATAAAATAAAAAAATAAAACATAATAAAATAATTCTCGATTTAAAGCTTTCGTGACTGCAGGGATTCATCTTCTTGGTTCTTTCGGTAAAGTCATGAAGAAGGGAAATAATAAAATAATAAAAATAAAACATAATAAAATAATTCTCGATTTAAAGCTTTCGTGACTGCAGGGATTCATCTTCTTGGTTCTTTCGGTAAAGTCATGAAGAAGGGAAGTAATAAAATAAAAAAAATAAAACATAATAAAATAATTCTCGATTTAAAGCTTTCGTGACTGCAGGGATTCATCTTCTTGGTTCTTTCGGTAAAGTCACGAAGAAGGGAAATAATAAAATAAAAAAAATAAAACATAATAAAATAATTCTCGATTTAAAGCTTTCGTGACTGCAGGGATTCATCTTCTTGGTTCTTTCGGTAAAGTCATGAAGAAGGGAAATAATAAAATAAAAAAAATAAAACATAATAAAATAATTCTCGATTTAAAGCTTTCGTGACTGCAGGGATTCATCTTCTTGGTTCTTTCGGTAAAGTCATGAAGAAGGGAAATAATAAAATAATAAAATAAAACATAATAAAATAATTCTCGATTTAAAGCTTTCGTGACTGCAGGGATTCATCTTCTTGGTTCTTTCGGTAAAGTCACGAAGAAGGGAAGTAATAAAATAATAAAAATAAAACATAATAAATTATTCTCACGACGTTTCGGCCACAACGCAAGCAGCCGTCCTCAGGTGAAGAACAGGGCTGGCAGACGCTGTCTTTCCGACAGACCTGTTCTTCACCTGAGGACGGCTGCTTGCGTTGTGGCCGAAACGTCGTGAGAATTGTATTTTATTATGTGTTATTTTTATTATTTTATTATTTCCCTTCTACGTGACTTTACCGAAAGAACCAAGAAGATGAATCCCTGCTGTCACGAAAGCTTTAAATCGAAATGTTTCCACCTATGTATGTTGAACTTCTTTCGCACTGTACGTAGCCAACCGTTCCGGGGGTAGGACAACAAATTAAACACAAAGAGCATTTGCGTGATGGTCGAATGGCATGAATGATGGGATGCGTTGGACTGTCTTGTGTCATACTTGCGGTAAAGCATTGGTTCTAATCAACCCGTGTATTCCCTGCAGGTCCCAAGAGTTGCAGATTGCTGCGGACAAATACGTGAGTCGTACATTATTTTAACGAACGCTTTAAGCAATCATCTCTCTGTGGCCCAGTGACTGCGTTGCAATACCACCGAACTCACCATTGCAAGTATTAAATAGTCAATCTTTTATGCAGTCAATCCCTTGATCGGGGATTGAATCTTCTTGCCTGGTGAGTCATTATGTTATACCTGGTGCCGGTAAAACCTAGATTCAAAAAGAGGGATGCGGTTCTTTAAGAAGACACGCGGAAAACGACATTTCGTAAACCAGAAAACGCATTTTTACTCGTTCTGGAAATACAACAGAAGTTGTGTTGAGATGTTCAAACACCAAATAGACACATTTTTCAAGGAATCAAGTCTCTGCATTAACCACACACAGTACCTGTGGTGAACATGCAAGCAAATTATTTTTGCATGCTTTTTCATACTTTGATACATTCAAAAGAGGTCCCATTTTGGCTTCTTCCCCCATTAGCTTAACATATGAAAAGAAACCGAGGGATGCGTCTTGGAGAGTCATTCCAATTCGACTGCGAGCCCAGAAATAACAGACACCACACCCATATCGCTTTTGACATATACACAAATAAGAATGAAGAACATGAACGGTTGTTAACCCTTTCGGGGAACTGGCATAAAAATAAGTAATATTTAAAAAAGTGTTTTAAAAACATGCTTTGATAAAATGTACTAGTAATGGCAGAACTCCACGACTCCAGGAAGTGGCCCCGAAGCTTGCCATAACGTAAGGGACCGTGGCCAATTACAGCCAACGTGAGTTGACCGTGGACAATTAGACCCAAGCCGAAACATTACATATAAAAAAGAATGTTTAAAAAATATGTTTTTTAATGATAGAATATAGTATTGTCATCAGTATGACATACGTATACCAAGTTTGCAGTCGATACCACATTGGGAAGTGGGTTAAAATTGAGTTACAAGATTTGAGGTTACAACAACAACAGACAGAGTGAGTTAAATAAAAGCGTGTAAAAAGATCCGCCGCACGTTGGAATGCCTGGAAAGGCGATGTCTGGGGGCGTCACCGTTGCACCGTGAGAACACCGTGACAAGGCCACGGATCACAATCGGAAGCTTTATTTACACCGGGAGGAGGAGGAGGAATCTGATGAGCTTTGAGGCTCTTTTTCACAGATGCCCAGGAGCGCTTCCACTCACTCGACAAATGGGCGATTTTAAAGGGCAATCGTGGCCTCATTAGCGGAAGTATAATTACCCATGGGGGGGGGGGGGGTGTAGAAGTCACCGGGACAATGCAATCTGTCGATTTGACATTGAAACATATCCTGGTCAGAAAAAAAGAGACTGGTTTATATGTGTGTGTCTATACATATTTATGTATGTACCTTTTGTGCACGTTGTTATTTTAGCATCATTCGAAAATGTGAATGTCACGAGGAATGACACGGCGATCAACATCACGTGGGCGATGCCTGATGGCGCCATTAACCAAACCGTCATGCTGGACAACACCAAGGAGGCTGCAAACAACTGGAAGGCCCCAGTACTGGATGGATCGACGTTCATGTTCGCGGGGCTGGTGCCTGGCAGGAACTATTTATTTTCCCTGTTTGTCGACTGCACTTCTACCAACAGCTCCATCACTCAAATGTACCAAACGCGTAAGTGATGCCACTTTGTGCGCTGTTTTTATGAGAATATTGATGCTTGGCAATAGGTGTTTCCATTTGGTTTTTTAACATGTTAACATGTTAACATATTTCTGCTCTATTACCGGAAAGGGTGAAGGCTATTCTTATTTTGTCATCATTTTGACACTGGCAGAAAGGGCCCATAGACTTATGCTATCATACCAATGTAAACAAACGAAGGTATGTGTCAAGTGAAGTTATCAGAGATCCGACGGATTGACATCAAGTTAGCACGGGTGGCTAGGTACGGTGCGAACAGAAGGTCCACATACATACGAGGACATTTGTCAAGAGATGGAATTCCAGGTGTTTGGTTTGGTGACATTGACAGAATCAGAATCTTCATCTAGACTGGAGGAATTCGATGGACTATGAAGTGCTTATTCACGGATGTACAATAATGGAGAATGGGAGGTGTACGATGCCATCGATGTAACGATTTTTCGATTGACGATCTGCCTCCCATAGCCCCCCGCATTGTTTCTGTTTGCGAGAGACTTTCGATTAACGACGTGTTCAAGATATGACGCGGAACCTGCCGATGTCGGCCAATCGGAACGCTCCTAAGTGGGCTCGGCAGCAGACTTCGGCCAATCGGCGACGTTCCTTTCATGAGTTTTTTTTACAGCAAGTGGCTGCTTCTTGTTTTTGTTACTTGAAAGCTAAATAAGATCAATAACAATTGCCACTAAAATGAATTTGACGAGAGGCAAGAAAGTGACAAAAAGAATGAATGTGCAAACACGAAATATTGAGAAACACTACAGAGGTGTAACACATTCCTGCGGAGGGAGCTGGCAGGAACGTTGGGTTGCTCGGTCAATGGCCAGGGTCAATGGCGGCGTGGTGTATTTCGCAAATATGGCCGACTGTGAGGGCGGGCACAAGCCGGCGTGAGTAGGTTAAACGTTGAGTTTTATAAGGGCACCACGGGGTGACCAGCCCCTCCCCACCCAGCCCCACCCCTCCCACCCCCACCCAGCTCCACCCTCCCCACCCAGACTCTCTCCACCCAGCCCGACCCCTCCCATTTTTGGATGCACGACGGACGGACACTATACTCCCCTGTGGGCTGGTGGAACCAGGTGGTTCCTACCAGTACAAGCGTTCTTAACATGTTATTAGAACGTTCATTTATTAATATTGCCTATTTAAATATTATAAACTATGTTTGAAGGGTGTAAAGGGTCAACTTCCGATCGTATAGGAACAAACTCAGGGGCCGTCCATAAATTACGTCACGCACCTGGGGGGGTCAGACATTTGTGACGATGTGTGACGAGGGGGGGTGAGAAATATGACGTCACGTAAAAATGCGCAACTTTAAATAAATATAGAATTGTTATAACAACACTAATTGTTATAACAACACTCCTACAATATTAGAGTGCAGCGACACATTAAATACGCACTACAATGACAATAGTTTAAAGCGATTTGAAGCATGTTTTATTTTCAAAATGGAAATATGGTTTTGGGGGGGGGCAGAAATTTGTGACGTCATATTTGAGGGGGGTTCTGACTTTTTGTGACGCCGTGTGACGAGGGGGGGGGGGTCAAAAATCGTCCAAAATCGCGTGACGTCATTTATGGACGGCCCCTAATCCATTAACATGACTTTATTACGTTAGATTAACAATAACTTGATTAGGAGCTTTCGTGACTGCAGGAATTACTCTTTGGTTCTTTAAGTGAAGCCCCGTAGAAATAAAAATAAATTAAATAATAGAATACGACATTTCAATTGCAACACAAGCAAGATAAGATGGTCCAAAAATGTGTAATTAAGTCTTTTTTGCGTGGTTTATAACATCTTTCCAATGATTACTAAGTTTGTACCCATCATCACGGTTGAAATTATGTCTGTGTTTGTATATTTGTATGGCCTCGTGTACAAACCTTTGATGGTAGCCAGGAGGTTTGCAGAGAACCTTGGTCTCGGAAAAGACAATTTCATGAGAGCCCACCGAGTTGTAGCAATGATCGGCAACGGCCGAAGAATCAGTTCTGCCGTGTTTCAGATCTGACTTGTGCTCGCGGACACGATCAGCAACATGACGTTTCGTTTCTCCAATGTAGCAATCACCACAAATGCAACTCAATTTATAGACTCCAGGATACTGTAATTCAGGAACGACATCCTTCACAGATGGAATCAGATCACGGATTTTATGCACTGTACTGAATCGGACTTGGATCTTATGTTTGTTTAGAATTTTGGAGATCTTTTTGGTCACGCCTGCTATGTATGGTAACGTGATAGTTTTGGTCGGAGTTTCATGTGGCTGTTTCTGTGTGGTGGGAGAAACAGCTTGGCGGATAGTGCGGTCAGAGTATCCGTTCATCCTGAGGGCCCGATGTATTAATTTTAATGTTTTACCTACGTGACTTTACCGAAAACACCTAAGAATATGAATCCTTGCAGTCACGAAAGCTTCAAATCTAGAATGTATTTTGTGTCTCTCTCAAATTTAGCAATCTTTGGAAGTACGTAACCAACCACGTAGGGTGTTGACTGTTATGTTAGCCGACTCTCTGTGTTGTATTGCATTATATTTCTAAGTTTACTAGGTTTGTTTTCTGTTTCATTCGTACTTGATGATGATTGCTTTTGTTGCAATCGAAACGTCGTATGCTATTATTTAATTGCTTTTTCTTTCTCCGTGACTTTACCGAAAGACGCAAAGAGTAGATTAACAATGCTTTCAAATTTACGATCGATTTTTTCGTTAAAGGCTGAAGAGATTTTCTGACGTAATTGAAGGATTTAGTTTGTTTGTAAAACAAATGTTCATGAAAACAGGAGGGCACACGAATACCGCGAGGATGTCCGAGTCCAATGGAAGTTCATGTCACGGTAACCGTTGTATCTGATGTGGTGTTACTTTAATGACTTTAGTTCATGGCAAATACAGCCCTTCAAATGCGTACGTGTCTAATGATTGATTTTGCCGTTGCAGTGCCACCAACAGTCAATGTCAGCATCATCATCAACAACTCTACAGTCATGACGGTATCATGGGCACCTATTATTGCTGGAGACGTTGACTACTACATGGTCTACTTGAATGAAACCAATAACTCAACAGCAGTGAAGAGCTCCGATTTGTCCTCCAACATTACAACACAAGTGTTTACAGATCTGGTTCCTGGTAGAAGTTACCAGGCATCTGTAACAGCGCACAGTGGCAGTTACTCCCAACCATCAGCCATCTTCACTGCCAGGACATGTACGTATATAAGCAGCGTTCATCTTCGTGTAATGGCTTTGATGTTTGATATTTGTTCAAAACATGCTCAAAAATCGACAACATTTAAAAAACTTTTTCAATATATCCCCAATTATTGACAACATTAAATAACTGAATTAATACGTCTTTAAGGATTGACAACATATGAAGTAATTTTCAAGAGCTAACATGTTTATGTTTGCTGCGTACTTGTAAAAGTAACGAATTAATTGTACATTTGATAATAGGGACACATTAAATCAACAGGCGTTGTATATGTTAAATTATCAAACATGTTCTGTCATAAACATCTACATGTTTAAGAAAAAGAAAATGGCCAACCCTGTGCTTATGGATTACATTAATCTGTTCTTCATATCGATATATTGTATGCATAAGCTAGGCATTCGTTGAACTTCTTTAGCACCGTACGTAGCCAACCATGTTAAACGGAGGTGCGAGGAAGGACAACAAATGAAATTTAACACCAAAATAATTCCACTGTACAGTATTTTTATTAACGGTGACTAACCTAACCGATAATTGGTACAGTACTGCATGTTCTCAGATTAACACAATTCATTGTAATTTACATGACCACATTCACCCCACCCTGGTCTTCGCACCTGATAGGCTCACAGTGATGACATCACCTTTACTCCTCTATTTAAGACCGAACCAAGAAGACTTCTTTACAATTGTGGCAAATCGCCTGAAGCTGGTTGTAATTACCAAGGAAATGTCAGATAGTAAATGTTGTGGGTTTAATCTCCAACACACCGTTATGCTGAAGAAGTAACTGGCACGTTTTGTTTACGTGACAAACCTTACTAAGTGGCTGTGTCGGGTGGTGGTGGGTTAACGACACATTTATATTCAAGCGATCAAAGCCAAAAAATTGCGTTTATTACGCATAATATTGGTAATAAAAGCATACTTTTAGACTGCTTATGCAATGCCACTCGAGAGAAGCCTGCTATAAACGTTGAGTTCCTTCTTTTGGAGGAATGCGAAGCTTCATTATAATCTCTCGAAGCGAAACTCATTGAGGCTCCGGCCTTTTCCGGTTATTGGGAATATCCAGCATTAAGTAAAATAATGATTTGAGCAAGTTTGTATTATATTTACACATCATTTATTACTTAATCGCAATTAACATGTTTAGAATTCTATACAAGTTGATAAATGATTACAGTATAACATGAGTCGCCATTATTGTAAAGCAGAGGTGGAAAGCTGAAGTTTACTAGATTTCGAAGGCTGAAGAGATTATCTAACGTAATTGAAGGATTTAGTTTGTAAAATAAATGTTCATGAAAACAGGAGAGCACAAGAATCCCGTGTGGATGTCCGAGTCCAATGGAAGTCCACAACACAGCAACCGTTGTATCTGATGTGGTGTTACTTGAATGACTTTAGTTTATGACAAATACAGATCCTGAAATGTGTACGTCTCTAAATATTGATTTTCCCGTTGCAGTGATTCTATCAGTCAACGTCACCATCAGCCCCATCAACTCTACAGCCATGAATGTCTCATGGAAAACGAATCTTCTCGCTGTAGACGTTGACAACTACACGGTCTACTTGACTGAATCTAAGAACGCAACAGCAGTGCAGAGCTCCAATTTCCCCTCCACCATTACAACAAAAGAGTTTACAGGTCTGGTTCCTGGTAGACTTTACCAGGCGTCTGTAACAATGCACAGTGGCATTGACATCCAATCATCAGCCAACGTCAGTGACAGAACCTGTACGTATATAAGCAGCGTTCATCTTCGTGTAATCAGTTTGATGTTTGATATGTTTTCAAAACATGCAAAAAAAATCGACAACATTGAATACACTTACTCAATGTCCCCCATTATTGACAACATTAAATAACTTAATTAGTATGTATTTAGGGATCGAGAACATATGAAGTAATTTTCAGGAGTTAAAATAAAAGTTTGCTGCGTACTTTAAAAAGTAACGAATTAATTGTACATTTGATAATCGGTACACATTAAATCAACAGGTGTTGTATATGTTAAATTATCAAACATGTTCGGTCATGAAATATCTACAAGCATAGAAAAAGAAAATAGCAGGCCCCAACAATGTGCATTTGGATTACGTGAATCTGTTCCGAATATCGGTATGTTTTATGCATATTATAGGTTTGTATGTTGTAATTTTTTAGCACCGAACGTAGCCAACCGTGTTAATCAAAGTTACGGGGAAAGACAACGAACTAAACTAAAGACAAAATCATTCCGCTCGACAGTACAGTGCTGCATATTCTCAGATTAACATAATTAATTGTAATGTATACGACCACATTAACCGCACCCTGGTATTCGCATCTGATAGGCTCACATTGATGACATCACCTTTACTCCTCTATTTAAGACAGAACCAGGAAGACTTCTTCACAATTCTGGCAAATCGCCTGATGAAGCTGGTTGTAATCACCAGCAAAACGCCAAATTGTAAATGTTGTGGGTTTAATCTTCAACACACCTTTGTGCTGAAGAAGTAACTGTCGTGTTTTTGTTTACGTGACAACCCTTACTAAGTGGCTTTGGGTTAACGACACATTTATATTTACGCAATCTAACCCAAAAATAACCTTTATTGTGCATAATATTGGTGGTGAAAGCTTACTTTTAGACTGCTTATGCAATGTTGCTTGACACAAGCTTTATGTAAACATTGAGTAGGCTCTTTTGGAGGAATGCTAAGTTTGATTATAATCTCTCGAAGCGAGACTCATTGAGGCTCCGGCCTTTTCCAGTTATTGGGAATATCCAGCGTGAAAGGTAATGATTTGAACAAGTTTGTATTATATTTACACATGATAGGAGCGTTTTTGATTTATTACTTAATAGTAATTAACATGTTTAGAATTCAATACAAATATCTACGCTAATCGCCCAGAAATACTCTTTGGTTTTTTCGGTAAAGTCACGTAGGTGAAAATGAAATAAAATGAAAACTAAATTAATTCACGACGTTTCGGGCACAACACAAGCATCTGTCATCAGGTGGGGACAACCACAGAAATAACAGTTGCTGAGGTATGCCAAAGAGATGGCTCTGACAAGGGTTTATACAGCTGAGGAGGGGGGGGGGGGGGGACGAGGGCAGGGTGAGTGTGGGGGCGGTGCGTGGTCTGGGGAAGCCAGTCCTAATGCTGGGCATACTGCTCATGTACCACGGGTGGTGGGGGGGGGGGCGTTGGGACAAAACTACACGATTGGAACACTTCACATCAAATTTCCTAGTGATGGTAGTGTGCAAGGCTGGGATTAAAAGACTGGAGATGTGGATATGAATATAAACTATAAGGCAGCTAAGGTTTAATTTGGCTTATAACATCTTTCCAATGATTGCTCCATCTTCTCGGTTGAAGTTATGTCTATGTTTGTATATCTGGATGGCTTCATGGACAAATCTTTGGTGGTATCCAGACGGCTTGCAGAGTCCTTTGGTATCGGAGAAAACAAAATCATGAGAACCCACCGCATTGTAGCAATGGTCAGCCACGGCAGAATAATTCGTCCTACCGTGTTTCAAATCTGGCTTGTGCTCGCGAATGCGGTCAGATACATGTCGTTTCGTTTCCCCAATATAACAATCGACACAAATGCAACTCACCCAGGAATGTCTGTCCTTAACGCTCGTGACGTCACTCCACATGCTGCACCCCTCATTAATAATCATGAGCTGATGACATCACTCAAGTCGGCCCCACCCCCTTATTAATAATCATGAGAGGTCTTGATTTTCTCGTAACTGCAGGAATCCATAGTCTTTGGTTCTTTCGGTAAATTCTAGATTTGAAGCTTTCGTGACTGCAAGGATTCATACTCTTAGTTCTTTCGGTAAAGTCACGTAGGTAAAAAAATGAAATAAAATTTAATAACAATAAAACAATAAAATCATGACGTTTCGGAGCAACACAAGTCTCCGTCATCAGGTGGGACCGTCACAGCCAGATTTGCTGCATCAAGTGTGGCAGGGATTCAAGATGCAAGCTCTTAAATACAAGTTAAGGGCGGTAAAGTCACGTAGTCAGAAATAAAATAAATCGCGACGTTTCGATCGCAACATAGTCGGTCGTCATCACCCTTTGCCTGATGACGACCGCTTGTGTTGCGATCGAAACGTCGTTATTTGTTTAATTTGATTTCTAACTGCGTGACTTTACCGAAAGAACCAAAGAGTAATCATGAGCGGGCAGAGGTCGCAATCGGCTACCCGATACCCGTACCCTACCCGATACCCGACTACCCATACCCGGCCGGGTACGGGTACGGGTAGGCCGTGAGTCACTGGTGAGTAACCGTTTGTCACTCATTTCCCAACGTCTTGTCTCTTTTCACAATTCAAGTTCCTAGAATCAACCCACCCGCGCCTGCAACATGGCTTCATCCCAGAGGTCGCAATCGGGTACCCGAACCCTACCCGATACCTGGCTACCCGTACCCGGCCGGGTATCGGGTAGGGTTCGGGTACCCGTTTGCGACCCTGGTGCGGCCGGGTACGGGTAAGGAATCAAAACCCGTTTGCGACCTCTGTGAGCGGGTCATTAGTTTCGATTGAATATTTCAGATGAACTGCAATTTCCACCCGTCCTTGGACGGGCTATAAGCTAGTTAATAAAGAATTACAGTATAACATGAGTCACCATTATTGTAAAGCAGAGGTGAAAGCCGAAGTTTACTAGATTCATCTTCTTGGTTCTTTCGGTAAAGTCACGTAGAAGGGAAGTAATAATGAGGACGGCTGCTTGCGTTGTGGCCGAAACGTCGTGAGAATTATTTTATTGTTTTATTTTTATTATTTTATTACTTCCCTTCTACGTGACTTTACCGAAAGAACCAAGAAGATGAATCCCTGCAGTCACGAAAGCTTTAAATAGAAATTTTACTAGATTTGTAAGGCTGAAGAGACTTTATAACGTAATTGAAGGATTTAGTTTGTAAAATAAATGTTCAAGAAAACAGGAGAGCACTCGAATACCGTGTGGATGTCCGAGTCCAATGGAAGTTCATATCACAGTAACCGTTGTATCTGACGTGGTGTTACTTTAATTACTTTAATTCAAGGCAAATACAGCCCTTGAAATGTGTACGTGTCTAATTATTGATTTTGCCGTTGCAGTGCCTCCATCAGTCAATGTCACCATCAGCCCCATCAACTCTACAGCCATGACTGTCTCATGGGCACCTACAATTCCTGCAGACGTTGACAGCTACACGGTCTACTTGAATGAAACCAATAACCCAACAGCAGTGAATAGCTCCAATTTGTCCTCCAACATTGCAACACAAGTGTTTACAGATCTGGTTCCTGGTAGAAGTTACCAGGCATCTGTAACAGCGCACAGTGGCAGTTACTCCCAACCATCAGCCAACTTCACTGCCAGGACCTGTACGTATATGCAGCGTTCATCCTCGTGTAATCCCTTTGATGTTTGATATTTGTTCAAAACATGCTCAAAAATCGACAACATTTAATACACTTATTCAACGTCAACCATTATTGACAACATTAGATAACCGAATTAATGCGTCTTTAGTGATGGACATCATATTAAGAACTTTCCAATTATTAAAAATATTACGTTTGTTGCGTACTTTTAATTTTACATTTGATAATCGGTACACATTCAATCAACAGGTGTTGAAAATGTTAAATGATCAAACATGTTCCGTCATAAAAGATCTAAAAGCTTAAAATAAGAGAATGCCCAACCCTGTGCTTATGGATTACATGAATCTGTTCCTAATATCGGTATATTTTATGCATATTCTGAGTATGTGTTGAACTTCTTAGCACCGTATATAGCCAACCGTGTTAATCAGAGGTATGGGGAAGGACAACAAACTAAACTAATATTCTTAGGTTTTTTCGGTAAAGTCACGTAGGTAAAACATCAAAATTAATAAAAATAAAATAAAACAAAAATCACGACGTTTCGGAGGCAACACAAGTCTCCGTCATCAGGTGGGACCGTCACAGCCATATTAGCTGCATCAAGTGAGGCAATGATTTAAGATGTAATCCCTTAACAAGCAAGTTGAGGGGGAGGAGAGGGGGGGGCTAATCAGAATGTGGTTGCCAATGAATGGAACGTATCGGGAGGGAGGGGGGGCGGGGCTCAAAGACGGCAAGGAGTGCCAACGTACAACGCATCGGGAGGGGGAGGGGGGGCGGGGCCAAAACTGTGCAACGCATCGGGAGGGGGGGGGGCGGGACCAAAGAGTGTACGACGGCATCGACGCAGTTGCTGTTGCACAACGCCAACGCATTGGACAGAGAGGGGGAGGGGAGGCCTGATACACATGATAGAAAATAACAACAATGCCCATGTTTATACCAATGCTGGCTGAACAATGAAGAGAGTACTGTTAAATACTGGGGATGTTAACACTCGGTAAAGTAAAGTAAGATAGTGCCTGTCAGATAAGATGGTCCAAAAAAGTGTAATTAAGTCTTTTTTGCGTGGTTAATAACATCTTTCCAATGATTACTAAGTTTGTACCCATCATCACGGTTGAAATTATGTCTGTGTTTGTATATTTGTATGGCTTCGTGTACAAACCTTTGATGGTAGCCGGGAGGTTTGCAGAGAACCTTGGTCTCGGAAAAGACAATTTCATGAGAGCCCACCGAGTTGTAGCAATGATCGGCAACGGCCGAAGAATCGGTTCTGCCGTGTTTCAGATCTGACTTGTGCTCGCGGACACGATCAGAAACATGACGTTTCGTTTCTCCAATGTAGCAATCACCACAAATGCAACTCAATTTGTAGACTCCAGGATACTGTCTACAAATTGAGTTGCATTTGTGGTGATTGCTACATTGGAGAAACGAAACGTCATGTTTCTGATCGTGTCCGCGAGCACAAGTCAGATCTGAAACACGGCAGAACCGATTCTTCGGCCGTTGCCGATCATTGCTACAACTCGGTGGGCTCTCATGAAATTGTCTTTTCCGAGACCAAGGTTCTCTGCAAACCTCCCGGCTACCATCAAAGGTTTGTACACGAAGCCATACAAATATACAAACACAGACATAATTTCAACCGTGATGATGGGTACAAACTTAGTAATCATTGGAAAGATGTTATTAACCACGCAAAAAAGACTTAATTACACTTTTTTGGAACATCTTATCTGACAGGCACTATCTTACTTTACTTTACCGAGTGTTAACATCCCCAGTATTTAACAGTACTCTCTTCATTGTTCAGCCAGCATTGGTATAAACATGGGCATTGTTGTTATTTTCTATCATGTGTATCAGGCCTCCCCTCCCCCTCTCTGTCCAATGCGTTGGCGTTGTGCAACAGCAACTGCGTCGATGCCGTCGTACACTCTTTGGTCCCGCCCCCCCCCTCCCGATGCGTTGCACAGTTTTGGCCCCGCCCCCCCTCCCCCTCCCGATGCGTTGTACGTTGGCAGTCCTTGCCGTCTTTGAGCCCCGCCCCCCCTCCCTCCCGATACGTTCCATTCATTGGCAACCACATTCTGATTAGCTCCCCCCCCTCTCCTCCCCCTCAACTTGCTTGTTAAGGGATTACATCTTGAATCATTGCCTCACTTGATGCAGCTAATCCGGCTGTGACGGTCCCACCTGATGACGGAGACTTGTGTTGCCTCTGAAACGTCGTGATTTTTGTTTTATTTTATTTTATTAATTTTGATGTTTTACCTAGGTGACTTTACCGAAAAAACCTAAGAATATGAATCCTTGCAGTCACGAAAGCTTCAAATCTAAAACTAAACTAAATGCAAAAATAATTCCACCTTACAGTACATTGATTAAAGGTGACTAACCCAACCGATAATAGGTACAGTACTGCATATTCTCAGATTAACATAATTTATTATAACTTATATGGCCACATCAACCCAACTGTGGTATTCGCACCTGATAGGCTCACAGTGTTGACATCACATTTGCTCCTCTATTTAAGACCGATCCGGGACGACTTCTTCACTATTCTGGAAAATCGCCTGATGAAGCTGGTTGTAATCACCAGCAAAACGCCAAATAGTAAATGTTGTGGGTTTAATGTCCAACACACTGCTGTGATTAAGAAGTAACTAGCACGTTTTGTTTATGTGACCGACCTGACTAATTGGCTGTGTTCGATGTTAGTGGGTTTACGACACATTTATATTTATGCGATCAAACCCAAAAATAACCTTTTTTATGCATATTATTGGTAAAAGCCTACGTTTTAGACTACATATGTAATTCCGCTCGACACAAGGCTGATATGAACATTGAGTGCCCTCATTTGGAGGAATGCGAAGCTGCATTATCTCTCGAAGCGAGACTCATTGAGGCTCCGGCCTTTTCCAGTTATTGGGAATATCCAGCGTGTAAGTAAGATAATGATTTGAACAAGTTTGTATTATATTTACACGTCATAGGAGCGTGTTTGATTCATTACTCAATAGTTATTAACATGTTCAGAATTCAATACAAATATCTATGATAATCACCCAGGAATGTCTGTCCTTAACGCTCGTGACGTCACTCCACATGCTGCACCCCTCATTAATAATCATGAGCTGAAGCGTCACTCATGTCGACCCTGTCCCTACCCCCTCATTAATAATCATGAGTGGCTTAAAGCCTTCGTCACTGCAGGAATTCATATTCCTTGGGTCTTTCGGAAAACTCACGTGACTTTCCCGAAAGACCCAACGAATAATCACGAGCGGGTCATTAGTTTCGATTGAATATTTCATATTAACTGCAATTTCCACCCGTCCTTGGACGGGCTAAAAGCTAGTTAATAAATAATTACAGTATAACATGAGTCACCATTATTGTAAAGCAGAGGTAAAAGCCGAAGTTTACTAGATTTATCTTCTTGGTTCTTTCGGTAAAGTCACGTAGAAGGGAAGTAATAATGAGGACGGCTGCTTGCGTTGTGGCCGAAACGTCGTGAGAATTATTTTATTGTTTTATTTTTATTATTTTATTACTTCCCTTCTACGTGACTTTACCGAAAGAACCAAGAAGATGAATCCCTGCAGTCACGAAAGCTTTAAATAGAAATTTTACTAGATTTGTAAGGCTGAAGAGACTTTATAACGTAATTGAAGGATTTAGTTTGTAAAATAAATGTTCAAGAAAACAGGAGAGCACTCGAATACCGTGTGGATGTCCGAGTCAAATGGAAGTTCATATCACAGTAACCGTTGTATCTGACGTGGTGTTACTTTAATTACTTTAATTCAAGGCAAATACAGCCCTTGAAATGTGTACGTGTCTAATTATTGATTTTGCCGTTGCAGTGCCTCCATCAGTCAATGTCACCATCAGCCCCATCAACTCTACAGCCATGACTGTCTCATGGGCACCTACAATTCCTGCAGACGTTGACAGCTACACGGTCTACTTGAATGAAACCAATAACCCAACAGCAGTGAATAGCTCCAATTTGTCCTCCAACATTGCAACACAAGTGTTTACAGATCTGGTTCCTGGTAGAAGTTACCAGGCATCTGTAACAGCGCACAGTGGCAGTTACTCTCAACCATCAGCCAACTTCACTGCCAGGACCTGTACGTATATGCAGCGTTCATCCTCGTGTAATCCCTTTGATGTTTGATATTTGTTCAAAACATGCTCAAAAATCGACAACATTTAATACACTTATTCAACGTCAACCATTATTGACAACATTAGATAACCGAATTAATGCGTCTTTAGTGATGGACATCATATTAAGAACTTTCCAATTATTAAAAATATTACGTTTGTTGCGTACTTTTAATTTTACATTTGATAATCGGTACACATTCAATCAACAGGTGTTGAAAATGTTAAATGATCAAACATGTTCCGTCATAAAAGATCTAAAAGCTTAAAATAAGAGAATGCCCAACCCTGTGCTTATGGATTACATGAATCTGTTCCTAATATCGGTATATTTTATGCATATTCTGAGTATGTGTTGAACTTCTTAGCACCGTATATAGCCAACCGTGTTAATCAGAGGTATGGGGAAGGACAACAAACTAAACTAATATTCTTAGGTTTTTTCGGTAAAGTCACGTAGGTAAAACATCAAAATTAATAAAAATAAAATAAAACAAAAATCACGACGTTTCGGAGGCAACACAAGTCTCCGTCATCAGGTGGGACCGTCACAGCCATATTAGCTGCATCAAGTGAGGCAATGATTTAAGATGTAATCCCTTAACAAGCAAGTTGAGGGGGAGGAGAGGGGGGGGCTAATCAGAATGTGGTTGCCAATGAATGGAACGTATCGGGAGGGAGGGGGGGCGGGGCTCAAAGACGGCAAGGAGTGCCAACGTACAACGCATCGGGAGGGGGAGGGGGGGCGGGGCCAAAACTGTGCAACGCATCGGGAGGGGGGGGGGGCGGGACCAAAGAGTGTACGACGGCATCGACGCAGTTGCTGTTGCACAACGCCAACGCATTGGACAGAGAGGGGGAGGGGAGGCCTGATACACATGATAGAAAATAACAACAATGCCCATGTTTATACCAATGCTGGCTGAACAATGAAGAGAGTACTGTTAAATACTGGGGATGTTAACACTCGGTAAAGTAAAGTAAGATAGTGCCTGTCAGATAAGATGGTCCAAAAAAGTGTAATTAAGTCTTTTTTGCGTGGTTAATAACATCTTTCCAATGATTACTAAGTTTGTACCCATCATCACGGTTGAAATTATGTCTGTGTTTGTATATTTGTATGGCTTCGTGTACAAACCTTTGATGGTAGCCGGGAGGTTTGCAGAGAACCTTGGTCTCGGAAAAGACAATTTCATGAGAGCCCACCGAGTTGTAGCAATGATCGGCAACGGCCGAAGAATCGGTTCTGCCGTGTTTCAGATCTGACTTGTGCTCGCGGACACGATCAGAAACATGACGTTTCGTTTCTCCAATGTAGCAATCACCACAAATGCAACTCAATTTGTAGACTCCAGGATACTGTCTACAAATTGAGTTGCATTTGTGGTGATTGCTACATTGGAGAAACGAAACGTCATGTTTCTGATCGTGTCCGCGAGCACAAGTCAGATCTGAAACACGGCAGAACCGATTCTTCGGCCGTTGCCGATCATTGCTACAACTCGGTGGGCTCTCATGAAATTGTCTTTTCCGAGACCAAGGTTCTCTGCAAACCTCCCGGCTACCATCAAAGGTTTGTACACGAAGCCATACAAATATACAAACACAGACATAATTTCAACCGTGATGATGGGTACAAACTTAGTAATCATTGGAAAGATGTTATTAACCACGCAAAAAAGACTTAATTACACTTTTTTGGACCATCTTATCTGACAGGCACTATCTTACTTTACTTTACCGAGTGTTAACATCCCCAGTATTTAACAGTACTCTCTTCATTGTTCAGCCAGCATTGGTATAAACATGGGCATTGTTGTTCTTTTCTATCATGTGTATCAGGCCTCCCCTCCCCCTCTCTGTCCAATGCGTTGGCGTTGTGCAACAGCAACTGCGTCGATGCCGTCGTACACTCTTTGGTCCCGCCCCCCCCCTCCCGATGCGTTGCACAGTTTTGGCCCCGCCCCCCCTCCCCCTCCCGATGCGTTGTACGTTGGCAGTCCTTGCCGTCTTTGAGCCCCGCCCCCCCTCCCTCCCGATACGTTCCATTCATTGGCAACCACATTCTGATTAGCTCCCCCCCCTCTCCTCCCCCTCAACTTGCTTGTTAAGGGATTACATCTTGAATCATTGCCTCACTTGATGCAGCTAATCCGGCTGTGACGGTCCCACCTGATGACGGAGACTTGTGTTGCCTCTGAAACGTCGTGATTTTTGTTTTATTTTATTTTTATTAATTTTGATGTTTTACCTAGGTGACTTTACCGAAAAAACCTAAGAATATGAATCCTTGCAGTCACGAAAGCTTCAAATCTAAAACTAAACTAAATGCAAAAATAATTCCACCTTACAGTACATTGATTAAAGGTGACTAACCCAACCGATAATAGGTACAGTACTGCATATTCTCAGATTAACATAATTTATTATAACTTATATGGCCACATCAACCCAACTGTGGTATTCGCACCTGATAGGCTCACAGTGTTGACATCACATTTGCTCCTCTATTTAAGACCGATCCGGGACGACTTCTTCACTATTCTGGAAAATCGCCTGATGAAGCTGGTTGTAATCACCAGCAAAACGCCAAATAGTAAATGTTGTGGGTTTAATGTCCAACACACTGCTGTGATTAAGAAGTAACTAGCACGTTTTGTTTATGTGACCGACCTGACTAATTGGCTGTGTTCGATGTTAGTGGGTTTACGACACATTTATATTTATGCGATCAAACCCAAAATAACCTTTTTTATGCATATTATTGGTAAAAGCCTACGTTTTAGACTACATATGTAATTCCGCTCGACACAAGGCTGATATGAACATTGAGTGCCCTCATTTGGAGGAATGCGAAGCTGCATTATCTCTCGAAGCGAGACTCATTGAGGCTCCGGCCTTTTCCAGTTATTGGGAATATCCAGCGTGTAAGTAAGATAATGATTTGAACAAGTTTGTATTATATTTACACGTCATAGGAGCGTGTTTGATTCATTACTCAATAGTTATTAACATGTTCAGAATTCAATACAAATATCTATGATAATCACCCAGGAATGTCTGTCCTTAACGCTCGTGACGTCACTCCACATGCTGCACCCCTCATTAATAATCATGAGCTGAAGCGTCACTCATGTCGACCCTGTCCCTACCCCCTCATTAATAATCATGAGTGGCTTAAAGCCTTCGTCACTGCAGGAATTCATATTCCTTGGGTCTTTCGGAAAACTCACGTGACTTTCCCGAAAGACCCAACGAATAATCACGAGCGGGTCATTAGTTTCGATTGAATATTTCATATTAACTGCAATTTCCACCCGTCCTTGGACGGGCTAAAAGCTAGTTAATAAATAATTACAGTATAACATGAGTCACCATTATTGTAAAGCAGAGGTAAAAGCCGAAGTTTACTAGATTTATCTTCTTGGTTCTTTCGGTAAAGTCACGTAGAAGGGAAGTAATAATGAGGACGGCTGCTTGCGTTGTGGCCGAAACGTCGTGAGAATTATTTTATTGTTTTATTTTTATTATTTTATTACTTCCCTTCTACGTGACTTTACCGAAAGAACCAAGAAGATGAATCCCTGCAGTCACGAAAGCTTTAAATAGAAATTTTACTAGATTTGTAAGGCTGAAGAGACTTTATAACGTAATTGAAGGATTTAGTTTGTAAAATAAATGTTCAAGAAAACAGGAGAGCACTCGAATACCGTGTGGATGTCCGAGTCCAATGGAAGTTCATATCACAGTAACCGTTGTATCTGACGTGGTGTTACTTTAATTACTTTAATTCAAGGCAAATACAGCCCTTGAAATGTGTACGTGTCTAATTATTGATTTTGCCGTTGCAGTGCCTCCATCAGTCAATGTCACCATCAGCCCCATCAACTCTACAGCCATGAATGTCTCATGGGCACCTACAATTCCTGCAGACGTTGACAGCTACACGGTCTACTTGAATGAAACCAATAACCCAACAGCAGTGAATAGCTCCAATTTGTCCTCCAACATTGCAACACAAGTGTTTACAGATCTGGTTCCTGGTAGAAGTTACCAGGCATCTGTAACAGCGCACAGTGGCAGTTACTCCCAACCATCAGCCAACTTCACTGCCAGGACCTGTACGTATATGCAGCGTTCATCCTCGTGTAATCCCTTTGATGTTTGATATTTGTTCAAAACATGCTCAAAAATCGACAACATTTAATACACTTATTCAACGTCAACCATTATTGACAACATTAGATAACCGAATTAATGCGTCTTTAGTGATGGACATCATATTAAGAACTTTCCAATTATTAAAAATATTACGTTTGTTGCGTACTTTTAATTTTACATTTGATAATCGGTACACATTCAATCAACAGGTGTTGAAAATGTTAAATGATCAAACATGTTCCGTCATAAAACATCTAAAAGCTTAAAATAAGAGAATGCCCAACCCTGTGCTTATGGATTACATGAATCTGTTCCTAATATCGGTATATTTTATGCATATTCTGAGTATGTGTTGAACTTCTTAGCACCGTATATAGCCAACCGTGTTAATCAGAGGTATGGGGAAGGACAACAAACTAAACTAATATTCTTAGGTTTTTTCGGTAAAGTCACGTAGGTAAAACATCAAAATTAATAAAAATAAAATAAAACAAAAATCACGACGTTTCGGAGGCAACACAAGTCTCCGTCATCAGGTGGGACCGTCACAGCCGGATTAGCTGCATCAAGTGAGGCAATGATTTAAGATGTAATCCCTTAACAAGCAAGTTGAGGGGGAGGAGAGGGGGGGGGCTAATCAGAATGTGGTTGCCAATGAATGGAACGTATCGGGGGGGGAGGGGGGGCGGGGCTCAAAGACGGCAAGGACTGCCAACGTACAACGCATCGGGAGGGGGAGGGGGGGGCGGGGCCAAAACTGTGAAACGCATCGCGAGGGGGGGGGGGGGCCAAAGAGTGTACGACGGCATCGACGCTGTTGCTGTTGCACAACGCCAACGCATTGGACAGAGAGGGGGAGGGGAGGCCTGATACACATGATAGAAAATAACAACAATGCCCATGTTTATACCAATGCTGGCTGAACAATGAAGAGAGTACTGTTAAATACTGGGGATGTTAACACTCGGTAAAGTAAAGTAAGATAGTGCCTGTCAGATAAGATGGTCCAAAAAAGTGTAATTAAGTCTTTTTTGCGTGGTTAATAACATCTTTCCAATGATTACTAAGTTTGTACCCATCATCACGGTTGAAATTATGTCTGTGTTTGTATATTTGTATGGCTTCGTGTACAAACCTTTGATGGTAGCCGGGAGGTTTGCAGAGAACCTTGGTCTCGGAAAAGACAATTTCATGAGAGCCCACCGAGTTGTAGCAATGATCGGCAACGGCCGAAGAATCGGTTCTGCCGTGTTTCAGATCTGACTTGTGCTCGCGGACACGATCAGAAACATGACGTTTCGTTTCTCCAATGTAGCAATCACCACAAATGCAACTCAATTTGTAGACAGTATCCTGGAGTCTACAAATTGAGTTGCATTTGTGGTGATTGCTACATTGGAGAAACGAAACGTCATGTTTCTGATCGTGTCCGCGAGCACAAGTCAGATCTGAAACACGGCAGAACCGATTCTTCGGCCGTTGCCGATCATTGCTACAACTCGGTGGGCTCTCATGAAATTGTCTTTTCCGAGACCAAGGTTCTCTGCAAACCTCCCGGCTACCATCAAAGGTTTGTACACGAAGCCATACAAATATACAAACACAGACATAATTTCAACCGTGATGATGGGTACAAACTTAGTAATCATTGGAAAGATGTTATTAACCACGCAAAAAAGACTTAATTACACTTTTTTGGACCATCTTATCTGACAGGCACTATCTTACTTTACTTTACCGAGTGTTAACATCCCCAGTATTTAACAGTACTCTCTTCATTGTTCAGCCAGCATTGGTATAAACATGGGCATTGTTGTTATTTTCTATCATGTGTATCAGGCCTCCCCTCCCCCTCTCTGTCCAATGCGTTGGCGTTGTGCAACAGCAACAGCGTCGATGCCGTCGTACACTCTTTGGCCCCGCCCCCCCCCTCGCGATGCGTTTCACAGTTTTGGCCCCGCCCCCCCCTCCCCCTCCCGATGCGTTGTACGTTGGCAGTCCTTGCCGTCTTTGAGCCCCGCCCCCCCTCCCCCCCGATACGTTCCATTCATTGGCTACCACATTCTGATTAGCTCCCCCCCCCTCTCCTCCCCCTCAACTTGCTTGTTAAGGGATTACATCTTGAATCATTGCCTCACTTGATGCAGCTAATCCGGCTGTGACGGTCCCACCTGATGACGGAGACTTGTGTTGCCTCTGAAACGTCGTGATTTTTGTTTTATTTTATTTTTATTAATTTTGATGTTTTACCTAGGTGACTTTACCGAAAAAACCTAAGAATATGAATCCTTGCAGTCACGAAAGCTTCAAATCTAAAACTAAACTAAATGCAAAAATAATTCCACCTTACAGTACATTGATTAAAGGTGACTAACCCAACCGATAATAGGTACAGTACTGCATATTCTCAGATTAACATAATTTATTATAACTTATATGGCCACATCAACCCAACTGTGGTATTCGCACCTGATAGGCTCACAGTGTTGACATCACATTTGCTCCTCTATTTAAGACCGAACCGGGACGACTTCTTCACTATTCTGGAAAATCGCCTGATGAAGCTGGTTGTAATCACCAGCAAAACGCCAAATAGTAAATGTTGTGGGTTTAATGTCCAACACACTGCTGTGATTAAGAAGTAACTAGCACGTTTTGTTTATGTGACCGACCTGACTAATTGGCTGTGTTCGATGTTAGTGGGTTTACGACACATTTATATTTACGCAATCTAACCCAAAAATGACCTTTATTATGCATAATATTGGTGGTGAAAGCTTACTTTTAGACTGCTTATGCAATGCCGCTTGACACAAGCCTGATATAAACATTCAGGACCCTTTTTTGGAGGAATGCTAAGTTTAATTATAATCTCTCGAAGTGAGACTCATTGAGGCTCTGGCCTTTTCCAGTTATTGGGAATATCCAGCGTGTAAGTAAGATAATGATTTGAACAAGTTTGTATTATATTTACACGTCATAGGAGCGTGTTTGATTCATTACTCAATAGTTATTAACATGTTCAGAATTCAATACAAATATCTATGATAATCACCCAGGAATGTCTGTCCTTAACGCTCGTGACGTCACTCCACATGCTGCACCCCTCATTAATAATCATGAGCTGAAGCGTCACTCATGTCGACCCTGTCCCTACCCCCTCATTAATAATCATGAGTGGCTTAAAGCCTTCGTCACTGCAGGAATTCATATTCCTTGGGTCTTTCGGAAAACTCACGTGACTTTCCCGAAAGACCCAACGAATAATCACGAGCGGGTCATTAGTTTCGATTGAATATTTCATATTAACTGCAATTTCCACCCGTCCTTGGACGGGCTAAAAGCTAGTTAATAAATAATTACAGTATAACATGAGTCACTATTATTGTAAAGCAGAGGTGGAAGCCGAAGTTTACTAGATTCATCTTCTTGGTTCTTTCGGTAAAGTCACGTAGAAGGGAAGTAATAATGAGGACGGCTGCTTGCGTTGTGGCCGAAACGTCGTGAGAATTGTTTTATTGTTTTATTTTTATTATTTTATTACTTCCCTTCTACGTGACTTTACCGAAAGAACCAAGAAGATGAATCCCTGCAGTCACGAAAGCTTTAAATAGAAATTTTACTAGATTTGTAAGGCTGAAGAGACTTTATAACGTAATTGAAGGATTTAGTTTGTAAAATAAATGTTCAAGAAAACAGGAGAGCACTCGAATACCGCGAAGATATCCGAGTCCAATGGAAGTTCATATCACAGTAACCGTTGTATCTGACGTGGTGTTACTTTAATTACTTTAATTCAAGGCAAATACAGCCCTTGAAATGTGTACGTGTCTAATTATTGATTTTGCCGTTGCAGTGCCTCCATCAGTCAATGTCACCATCAGCGCCAACAGCACTACAGTCATGACGGTCTCATGGGCACCTAATATCACTGTAGACGTTGACTACTACATTGTCTACTTGAATGAAACCAATAACTCAACAGCAGTGAAGAGCTACAATTTGACCTCCACCAATACATCTCAAGTGTTTACAGATCTGGTTCCTGGTAGAAGTTACAACGCATCTGTAACAGCGCACAGTGGCAATGGCTCCCAAGCATCAGCCATCGTCACAGCCAGGACATGTACGTATATGCAACGTTCATCCTCGTGTAATGGCTTTGATGTTTGATATTTGTTCAAAACATGCTCAAATATCGACAAAATTTAAAACACTTATTAAATTTGTCCCCAATTGTTGACAACATTAAATAACGGAATTAATACGTCTTTAATGATGGGCATCATATGAAGTAATTCCTAAGAATGAAAAAGATTACGTTTGTTGCGTATTTTTAATTGTACATTTGATAATCGGTACACATTCATACTCTTAGGTTTTTTCGGCAAAGTCACGTAGGTAAAAAATAAGAATAAATAATAAAAATAATAGAAGTAATAATAAAAATACAATTTTATTTTATTTCTATTCTATTTTTTTTTACATTTTTTACCTACGTGACTTTACCGAAAAAACCTAAGAGTATGAATCCTTGCATTCAAGAAAGCTTCAAATCTAGAATTAGGTACACATTCAATCAACAGATGTCGTATATGTTAATTTATCAAACATGTTCCGTAATAAAACATCTGCAAGCTTAGAAAAAGAGAATCCCCAACCCTGTGGTTATGGATTACGTGAATCTGTTCCTAATATCAGTATATTTTATGCATATTCTAGGTATGTGTTGAACTTCTTAGCACCTTATATAGCCAACCGTGTTAATCAGAGGTATGGGGAAGGACAACAAACTTAACTAAATAGAAAAATCATTCCAATGTACAGTATATTGATTAACGATGACTAACCCAACCGAGAATAGGTACAGTGCTGCATGTTATCAGATTAGCATAATTCATTGTTATTTATATGACCACATCAACCCCACCCTGGTCATCGCACCTGATAGGCTCACAGT